TTCGGAAAACATAACGTGCATAGTCATCAAATGTCCAGTTGTAGTTTTCTGCATGTGAATAGCAGTGTACACACACACAAAGGCCTTCACATGGAAGGCAAATTCTGAAAGACTGCCTAATGAAGCAAGCAGATCACGTCAATATAAGCAACGTTGAACTCATTCGAAAATGAAATTCATGCTTGGGATTAGGTGTATACGCACCTGCATCTTCATGGACAGGTCTTTCCAAAGAAGGCACTCTGAGGTAGCGGCGTGTAGAGCAAGTAGACCACGTAGATCAAAGAAATCGCGATAAATAAAGTCGAAATGGAAAGGACATGGTTAGATTAAAAGGTGTTAATTGTTATTGGCGAAATGATTGAATATGATGCAATCCAAAGTTTGTATTAGCGAAATAATTGAATATGATGCAATCCAAAGTTATCGTGCCCTTGTCCCTCACGAACATCAATTGTTTGTTGCAGATTGCGCAACACTTTGCGTGTGGAGAGCGGTATACACATATATACATATGTCTTCATAAGGAAGGTGACACTTCTGGGTTGCCGACGCGTGGAACAAATAGAGCAAGGACAGTATGACTTTGGAGTGTTAAAAAGTGAAGAGAACTGCACTTCAATTGAAACATGGATACCACGAAATGAAATGGACACAAATCGATTGTATTCTTGTTCTTCCACAAATCCGTTTAAAATGAACGTTTATTAGTTGTCTATGGACGAAGGGCAGAATTCGCCAAAAACTGAGATTCCGACGCGTAGAACACGTAGGTCAGGTGGTTGAGATAGAACGCAGTGATGAAAAACAGTAAATGGATTGATTAAATCACAGTTATATAACACTTAAGCCAGTGTGTTGCAGTACCGTGAGCCATATAGAGTAGAACAACGGACGTAAACTAAGCTGGAGAACTGAATAATCAATTACGGAAAAACAAATATCACACTGCGAGCCAGGCGTTTTGGGTGGGATGTTGCAGAAAAACGTTTGAACAGTTGCAACAGTTGCAAAGTTGCAATTGGAATGAAAAGCACAAAACCAAAATGCAGCTACAACGGCTTCTTTTCAGCCAAACGGTGTCAATTGTTGTCTGGTCCATTTGTGTCCAAAACTGCGGGCAATCGAAATGATCTGAGGAATGCATTCGCGGTATCTAGGTTTCTGAAGGGTATGAAGGGCGAGCAGGTCTTGAACTTGAGGAAGTTGAAGTTCACGAGGAAAAGTATTTTGTAAAATTAGACGTGTTCGAGCAATGAGACCTGTATACATGTAGCTTCTAGGTCCAAAACCAGCGGAAGTGCGTATCACTGTGTCCCAAGGCAATACCGATGTAATGGTACGTTGATGTGGATTGATGTTGAATCCAAGTGCATCAAAACCCTGTACTTCTTCCAAAAGAATGGGCGAGGTGTAGAAGTCTAAATTCCAAAAGCAAGTTTGTCGAAGGCGATCAGTGAGTTGTTGTGGACCCAAAAGCAGACGGTTGTCAACATAACGAAAGGAACTAAAAAGTTTTTCAGAAAAAATGGCTTGTCCAAAAAGCATGCTGTAGGTGTGCTCTCGATGTAGGGCAACTAGTGAACATACAACTGGGGCCCACTGTGAGCCCATAGATGCGCCTTGTATCTGTCGGTAGCTAACACATCCCAGTGAAAATAAGCTATGGCGAAGGAGGTACTTCACAAGACTATGGTCTCAATTATTGGATTGGTTTGAAGTGTTCGCTCAGTAGAAAACCTCGAAAACATGAATCAAGATCGTACGCACATCTGCAGCGATAAGGTCCCTACCGTGTTTGACATTCTGCTTGGTTCGAGCATCACAAACTATGTGTGTCCGCACACTTTTGTGATAGGTCTTCCTATATTCTAGATCTCTTCAAATTGATCTCTTGTCCTCACAATTGTAAATTGATTTGAAAGAGAAGGTGAAAACTCATAAAATGACAGTAAGAAGTAGGGTTCCCGGCCAATAAAATCCTTCGGCACATGGCCACCTTCGCCCTATGGGCACCATTCGCCCGTTGGGCACCCCCTTCACATGGAAGGCAAATTCTGAAAGACTGCGTGTAGAGCAAGTAGACCACGTAGATCAAAGAAATCGCGATAAATAAAGTCGAAATGGAAAGGACATGGTTAGATTAAAAGGTGTTAATTGTTATTGGCGAAATGATTGAATATGATGCAATCCAAAGTTTGTATTAGCGAAATAATTGAATATGATGCAATCCAAAGTTATCGTGCCCTTGTCCCTCACGAACATCAATTGTTTGTTGCAGATTGCGCAACACTTTGCGTGTGGAGAGCGGTATACACATATATACATATGTCTTCATAAGGAAGGTGACACTTCTGGGTTGCCGACGCGTGGAACAAATAGAGCAAGGACAGTATGACTTTGGAGTGTTAAAAAGTGAAGAGAACTGCACTTCAATTGAAACATGGATACCACGAAATGAAATGGACACAAATCGATTGTATTCTTGTTCTTCCACAAATCCGTTTAAAATGAACGTTTATTAGTTGTCTATGGACGAAGGGCAGAATTCGCCAAAAACTGAGATTCCGACGCGTAGAACACGTAGGTCAGGTGGTTGAGATAGAACGCAGTGATGAAAAACAGTAAATGGATTGATTAAATCACAGTTATATAACACTTAAGCCAGTGTGTTGCAGTACCGTGAACCATATAGAGTAGAACAACGGACGTAAACTAAGCTGGAGAACTGAATATAATCAATTACGGAAAAACAAATATCACACTGCGAGCCAGGCGTTTTGGGTGGGATGTTGCAGAAAAACGTTTGAACAGTTGCAACAGTTGCAAAGTTGCAATTGGAATGAAAAGCACAAAACCAAAATGCAGCTACAACGGCTTCTTTTCAGTCAAACGGTGTCAATTGTTGTCTGGTCCATTTGTGTCCAAAACTGCGGGCAATCGAAATGATCTGAGGAATGCATTCGCGGTATCTAGGTTCCTGAAGGGTATGAAGGGCGAGCAGGTCTTGAACTTGAGGAAGTTGAAGTTCACGAGGAAAAGTATTTTGTAAAATTAGACGTGTTCGAGCAATGAGACCTGTATACATGGAGCTTCTAGGTCCAAAACCAGCGGAAGTGCGTATCACTGTGTCCCAAGGCAATACCGATGTAATGGTACGTTGATGTGGATTGATGTTGAATCCAAGTGCATCAAAACCCTGTACTTCTTCCAAAAGAATGGGCGAGGTGTAGAAGTCTAAATTCCAAAAGCAAGTTTGTCGAAGGCGATCAGTGAGTTGTTGTGGACCCAAAAGCAGACGGTTGTCAACATAACGAAAGGAACTAAAAAGTTTTTCAGAAAAAATGGCTTGTCCAAAAGGCATGCTGTAGGTGTGCTCTCGATGTAGGGCAACTAGTGAACATACAACTGGGGCCCACTGTGAGCCCATAGATGCGCCTTGTATCTGTCGGTAGCTAACACATCCCAGTGAAAATAAGCTATGGCGAAGGAGGTACTTCACAAGACTATGGTCTCAATTATTGGATTGGTTTGAAGTGTTCGCTCAGTAGAAAACCTCGAAAACATGAATCAAGATCGTACACACATCTGCAGCGATAAGGTCCCTACCGTGTTTGACATTCTGCTTGGTTCGAGCATCACAAACTATGTGTGTCCGCACACTTTTGTGATAGGTCTTCCTATATTCTAGATCTCTTCAAATTGATCTCTTGTCCTCACAATTGTAAATTGATTTGAAAGAGAAGGTGAAAACTCATAAAATGACAGTAAGAAGTAGTGTTCCCGGCCAATAAAATCTTTCGGCACATGGCCACCTTCGCCCTATGGGCACCGTTCGCCCGTTGGGCACTCCTTCGGCTTATGCCACCCTTCAATTGTCCTTGACCCCCCTTCGGCTATTGCCATCACTTCTAGCAGCCCCTATGGCTACTCGCTCAACTTCTGCCTCCGTAGAGGGCGGATTCGGCACACTATGCCAAGATTGTTCTTCCCCATTAGGGATGATGAGGTCATGGTCTGTATAGGACACATGACTAATGCACACTGTTGATTTTTGGAAGTGAACTGCAATGACGATGTGGTTGTACATGCCTGGTAGAATCCTGAGTCCATCATCCTTGATAAACAGGTGAAACCAGGTCCAAATCATTAATCGGCAAGGTGGTTCTTGGGTTAGCCACATCCCATCGCGGAAATGGAAAGACATGATTAGGCAGGTACGTCGATCCAGCGTCCCGGATCGATATCACAGAATGTCATAGCCGTCTTCGTTGGCTGCAGAACTATGACATTCCCTGCAGCCCCCTGCTGTTAAGTAGTCTTTGGCGCATGAATTCGGAAAACATAACGTGCATAGTCTTTGGCGCATGAATTCGGAAAACATAACGTGCATAGTCATCAAATGTCCAGTTGTAGTTTTCTGCATGTGAATAGCAGTGTACACACACACATGTATTCATTTTCTTGATAGTATTTATGATACGATACGCACATATGATCAAATATATATATATAATAGAAAAAAGTAAGTAAATAATTGAATGAATGAATGAATGAATGAATGAATGAATGAGTAAAATAACGACATTAAATAAGTAAAAAATAAAAGGGTGGTAGTGTGCTGTGTCACAGGCTTCCGTACCTCACTGTGATAGCAATTTAATTGGCTCATGGGTCCAACCTCCAGTCATGAACTTGTCAGGCGTCAATACATAATTGTCAAAATGTTGTTCCCTCAAGCTGTACTATCTCGGATTTTGGGGGGGCGTCTTGGTGTATTCACTTTTTGTTTTGAGTTCATGTTGAAATACCTGGCAGGCTCAATCACACGTCTTGTTTAGTGTTGCACGTGCTCTAAAACCATCAAAATGTCTAAAATGCAGGATCCGCATCGCTCAATTCCATTTCTACTAGCGCACTACTGGCGCGGTACTAGCGCTTGGGCTAGGCCAAAGAAAAGTTTAAACATGAATTGTGCTTCCAAATCAAAGAGCGCTAAGCTAGCTCGAGACCGCTGTGGTGAAGGTTTCGGTCACGGTCGGGACCGATGAAAAAAGAATATTGGTCAAGAATAGTGCTGTGCCTTCCAAAGTAAAATCCTTGGCTCTGAACAGGACCGTGACATGTGATAAGTTAACGCTGTAGTTGCAAGTCTGAACCAAGGGTCTGATAGGGAAGCGAGTCTCCGAGTTTTCCAAATTCACCACGCTTGTGATGCACCCAAAGAGCTTGTTGGGCACCTCCCAGGTGGCAGTAAGTGGGCCTTGAAGACCTGGCATGGCGTCGCAAGCGAATCTCAGCTGAGTAATTGGATGTAATCAGACTAGCGCATGGTTCATTGCTCATCATGGCTCATGTCTGGGTCCGAAATTGTTTTGGGATTGTTTTTTTCTGTTTTGGGTTCTGTTTTTGTATCTCCTCTCCTGTCCATTTCCCTTGCTATTTGCAGCATTTGAGCTGGAAACTGCCATTTCAACGGCATTTTGCAACATTTTGGAGTTCGAATCTCTCATTTTCCCTGGTATTTGCAACATTTTGGTGCTCGAACTGTTCATGTCGCATGGTATTTTGCACCTAGGATTCATTTAGGGTTGGTTTAGGGGTGGTTTATTTAGGGGTTGGCTTGGGGTTGGTTTTCGGGTTGGTTTAGTTTTTTGGGGTTGGTTTTGGTTTTATCTTTGGATTGGTTTAGGGTTTGCTTAGGCCTGGTTTAAGGTCTATTCAGGGTGTGTTGAGGATCTATTTCAAGTTTGTTTAAGGTTTATTTAGGCTTGGTTCAGGGTTTGTTTAGGTTTGGCATCTATTTAAGGTTGGTTTAGGATCTATTTGGGGTAAGTGTTCAGATTTAGGGTTTGTTTGGGGTTTACTTAGGGTTGCTTTAGTTTTTTTGTTGGTTTGGAGTTTATTCAAAATTGTCCCTCCAAATCACATGTATTATGGCTCTTGTATGCTCTTCTTACCTTACACACCGACAGCTTGGCAACTGCTTGGTATAGCTTGGAGGCAGAGCTGCCTTGGTGAGTTGCACAAATCCGCCTGCACCGAAGGTGCCAAGGCGTTGTGTGCACACTTGATCGTAAGCAATTGCAATAGCATGCAATAGCTATTAAGCTTTAGGTTGCAAGGGGGAAGGCAAGAATCGTGCGTTCTTCACGATTTTGAAAAGGTCGCAACATCCGCTAGGTCTGCCGTAGGTCCAACATAGGCCCAACTTTGCCGGAAGATAGGCCCTACAGGTCCAAAATGTCTGTAACATGGAACCAACATAGTGCCAAAACAAGATCCACATGACATAACATTGCCTGAAGCTAGATGGGCTCCAAGTCCGCTCCGCTTAACATCAACATAGATCTTTCAATGCCAATGCATTCATTTTTTAAGTTGTTCGATGAAAAACAACGCAGCCAAAAAGAAATGGAAACCAGCAAAACCAATACTTTTTTGTAGGTTTGTCATGTTCACGCCTGTGCCAAACCTTGATGGAACCTATGTTGAGTGATTCAGTGTTTATTGGTCCCATGTTATGACAGTTAAGGGTGCATCAAATTGAGCCCACTTTGCATTGATTTGTTGTATCTGTGGGGTTTATTTTGCTCAGTTTGTGCTATTTCTGGAAGGATGCTGAGTGTCTTTTGAGCCTGCATCGAATCACTGTTTAAAATCGGATTTGGGCCAATTTGGTGTAAGGTGAAGAAATAATCGAACGGGTCAAAAACAAAATTGAGTCTGGTGGTGTCCCAACATAGGCTACATAGGGTCAAAAGGGGTCCAACATGGACCTGACGCAATCCCAAAATACGCACAAATAGCTCAATATCGCCTCCATTTAGGCTCAACATACGTTAAATATTGCCCCAAATCCAACAAATGAGCCCCCATCGGCCACAGGCGCCAATCGCATATTAAGAGGGATATTCGGTTCAGGGTAGAGTCTGTGTATGAGATATAGGTAATGAGAATGGGTTGGTGTGATCTGCGCGGCAAAAATAAGGGGAAAGAAGGTGGAGAATGACGATCGATCGATCGAGAGACTAGATAGAGATAGATAGAGAGAGATAGAGATAGAAAGAGATAGATAGAGATAGATAGAGATAGATAGAGATAGATAGAGATAGATAGAGATAGATAGGGATAGATAGAGATAGATAGAGATAGATAGAGATAGATAGAGATAGATAGAGATAGATAGAGATAGATAGAGATAGATAGAGATAGATAGAGATATATAGAGATAGATAGAGATAGATAGAGATAGATAGAGATAGATAGAGATAGATAGAGATAGATAGAGATAGATAGAGATAGATAGAGATAGAGATAGATAGAGATAGATAGAGATAGATAGAGATAGATAGAGATAGATAGAGATAGATAGAGATAGATAGAGATAGATAGAGATAGATAGAGATAGATAGAGATAGATAGAGATAGATAGAGATAGATAGAGACAGATAGAGATAGATAGAGACAGATAGAGATAGATAGAGATAGATAGAGATAGATAGATATAGATAGAGATAGATAGAGATAGATAGAGATAGATAGAGATAGATAGAGATAGATAGAGATGGATAGAGATGGATAGAGATGGATAGAGATAGATAGAGATATAGATAGATATAGATAGATATAGATAGATATAGATAGATATAGATAGATATAGATAGATCTAGATAGATCTAGATAGATCTAGATAGATCTAGATAGATATAGATAGATATAGATAGATATAGATAGATCTAGATAGATATGGATAGATATGGATAGATATGGATAGATATGGATAGATATGGATAGATATGGATAGATATGGATAGATATGGATAGATATGGATAGATATGGATAGATATGGATAGATATGGATAGATATGGATAGATATGGATAGAAATATAGATATAGATAGATATAAATAGATAGATATTTTGAATGTCGTTTATCTAGACTTGACCGAAAAACAAAAAGGTTGCAATAATGGTCTCACAAAGGTTTTTATTTAAAAAAAAACACAACGTTACAACCAGGTTTTATTGCGATTTACCCTTTCTGAGAGAGTTCATACGTTGTACCATGAGCAAACACGGCCGGTTGCGTTGCGAAGTGACCAGAATACAAATCACATGAGTTTTGCTATGAGCTATATAAAAATTCTGAAATGCCATGATTGTCTTGGCCAACTCATCCACATGTTCCAGTTTACTATGTACAAGGAAATATTATTTTCCACCAGTTGGGGTGATATTCAGTTGGGGCGAGAGGCTTCTGAATATGAAGTTGGAGAGCACCCAATTACCACGCTGGCGAGCCCAGCCTTTGACTTCCAAAATGGTCAGCGTAAGTATTCCACACGGCAATGCGTCTGGCTCCTGCATCTCAGCACCTGCAGCCAGTGTCTGGAGCCCCACCAAGTTTTGTGTATCTGTGAGTGTGTGCCCACAGTGTGTGTGTGCTTGGTGGCATTCCGGTTTGAACTCTCTTTAAACCAGTTCACGCTGCTTCAGAGAAGACATCCAACAGGGTTGATAGATGTTGATGGCAACTAGTAATCCCACTGTCTATTTTCTCGAAGATTGCAACTTCGCTCACCACATTGCAGAAAAAAAGACAGAAATGCAAGGCATCGCGCTGCACAGCTCTACACTAAGGCCAGTGAACAGTCTTACTTTACCTTGCTAGACCGCATCTGACGACATAGCCGCACATCACCCTACAGTCTGTAACACCGAATTGCAATTAGGGTCTTTGTATTGCTTGGGACTTTGGGGCTTGGTAGCATGTCATCAAAAAGAAGACAAGGAAGACAAGACAAAAACGTCGTTTCCTCTCCCCCGTTTCGCGGCTTCTGCCTGGCATCCACAGCATACATATGGTGGTTTCACCCACTTTACTTCCATGGCAGTCGAGACTCACTGTGACCACCAGTGGTGATCGCTGAACTGGTTCCTTTCTTTGGATGGGCAATGGCACTCGCGCTTTGGCGAAACCAGAACTACTTGATACAGACAGCACTGCACAGGTGGTGCCATTGGGACCTGGGACACAGCCCCAGCACGCCCCGGCCCAACGGCCCAACGGAACAGGAAAAGGATGGGGGTCGAGTCGGGTCGAGAGACTTTTGAGTGAACAATTCACTTCAGTCGTCTGGATAATGAGACTTCTCAAATAAAGCACCATTGAAACAAAAACTAAATGCACGGACTTGAACAAATCCTTTGGCTTCATGCAGTGAAGGGAACTGAAACACAGGAATGCCTGCTGATTTGACTTGCCATGGCCGAGGCACTACTCAGCAGTTTATGATCACCGCCATCCATAGCATCCAAGACTTGTTCCCTCACCTGCATCCTCAACTCACCTCAGGCCGCGAGCCATTGGGGATCCGCCTTTGGCAAATTGTGGCAAAAACTGGCAAATTGCAATGCATCCACTGTGCTCAATAGGACTTCTGAAGGGCCGAAATCTAAGCAAATGCTGCAGGAACTCTATAAAGCTCCGGTGTTTCAAGGCCAGCTGAATTCACACTTCGCATTGTTTCAATTCATGGTTTCACTCTCCCGGATGTACCCTGCGCCAAGCTGCGCTCATGAGTTACATACGAATACTCCTTGGAGAAGATCTGTTTGATGTGTGCAATCGGAACCTCAGATCTTCTCAGATTTTTGCCCGAGTTGGAAATAAGCTTGTCTGGAAGATCAAAGTAGGCACTATAGTTCCACTATTGACGTGCGCACAGGGACACCAAAGTCTTTACGTTGTCAAATCCCAGGCACAATCCACATCACGCCTTTCAAGGTCAGAGTAGCAGCCAGCACCACAATGCCGGACTGCGTTTGCACTTTGCCAGAGACATAGGGAGTATCCTCAGCCAATTGGCTCCAGACGGCCACAGAGGATCAGAAAAAAAGGAGCCACAATTGGAGAAAAACCTCGAGTTCCCTCTTTCATGCTGCTTTGGACCAGCACAAAAGCGGTTCTTGCCGAAGTCAAAGGCCACAAAAGCCACAACACCTGATTTTGCCTGATAGGGATTTATTGCTGTAGTCCGTTTTCTATCTTTCGAAAACTTTCGACCAAGGATCCTTCATGGAGATCAATCTGCTAAAGATCCAATAGCCAGCCCCCGGCACAGACTGGAAGGCTTCTTCCTGCATGTCTTGTTCGAACTGCTGAAGAAGGCATCCAGCGATCAACGCAATGACCATGATGAGAATAAAGAGATAGGCCACCATGATGATGCTTTTCCACAGCGTTAAACCCAAGACCTTCACAGGCTGTTCAGAAGTAGGACAAAAATTGATACGGGATATTGAAGGGGAGAAATGTCAAGAAGGATACACAATTTGCAAACCACCTGAGACTCTGAAGAGAATTGCAATTCCTGTGTTTCATTTGACGATTCGCTAGATTCGAACAGGCTTCAAGAAATCCATCTTGGACACAAATGTTGAAATATGATGCTTGCATATGCTTGCCTGAAAAGTGCCAATATGGTCAGAGAGACCTTTCGCGAAGTGTTTGGCAAGGTATTTTGCAGGTTGTTTATTTCCCTCTTGCCACAATGTACTCACATCAATGTACAAATGGCGACAAAGGAGCCACAATGCCTAGCAGCTTAACGTACAGCAACGCCGGGCCCCAGCAAAACCCACGCCTGAACCATATCGAGATATTTTGCTGACTTGAAAATGCGCATGAGTCGAGCCAGGCGAATAACGCGCAAGAAAGAAGCACCTGCAGAGCAGTAGGGGTGACTCCAGGAATCAATCAAGTAAGAACAATCGTGACATGCCGTTACATGATGTTACATGCCGTTACATGTACAGACATGCAAAGTTCATGAAGAAATATAAAGAACAGAAATATCGTTTCAATGTCGTTACACTTTTCCTGAGACTTCTAAGACATTGTAGATCCGCACCTGGAAGGAAGTTCCCCACTAAGACATCCATCCACCAAGGCAATATCGCCACGAGGTCAACCATCGCATCACCTCCGACTCAATATAAATTCAATAGGCTGGACAAAGGAAACTGTGTGGCATCGTTCTATCTCGGAAGTTCGGGAATTAATAAATATAATATATGTTAATATGGATTCAAATGGATTCAATATGTTTTAAAGTTCAATTGAAAGTCGGGGCTCGAAAGAATTCAAGAATATCTAAACACTGGCCTTGTGTAACAAAGTGCCAGACCCGGGCAGCCGGAGGCATCGGCTTTAACACCAAATCCTGGTGAAGTTTGGCCAGTAGCTTGCAGGCATGTTTAACAATATTTGAAGTTTAACAGTGTTAACATCGTTTGTTTTGAGTGAAGTGCGACCTCCGTTTCAGTTGATAATGCTTTGTGATGGCTATTGTAATAGGTCAATTGCTTTACAGGGTCCCCTACTTATACTTTGCGCGTCTTGAAGAAAAACCCTGCGAAAAAAAAAACTCTTTGAATCTCCATCCCTTCCTCGGTGCAGAAAAAGTTTTTGTGCACTTCAACCAGCTCCATACGCACAAAAGGTGTGCAACACAGCTTGGTGAAATAGTCCACGCTGAAGACGATGATACCTAGGGACTGACCAGACTTTGTGGCCGGTGCTAAATCCAAAAAACGCATTCACTATACAAATCAGTAGTGATAAATGCTGGCATAATTCTGAGGCAAAATATACTTGCACCGTGCAATAGGCCGCTGACGCGGAGTATTCGGGCGTATATACTATATGAACTGTATGTCTTCTCAAATGTACTGTATACAGCAGACCAACTCTTTGGTACTTGAGCATAACAGCACGCTTCACAAACATAAGTAAACCATCTTCCTCCTATTGGATCTACGGCCACCAAAAGTTGAGAGTTATTCTGGCCAAAGCTGTTTCTTCCTAGCACAGAAGGAACCTTTCCCAGCATGCTCTTAGAAAACCCACCATACAAAGCGCTGTACTTGCCACAAGATAGCCCAAAGTCAAGCAGTATGCATGCTGCAACTTTCAATTAAATATTCAACTCCACAGCAATACGCAAAGACAGCCTGATGGTTCTGTCCAGATGGTTTTTTCTAAAGATGGGAGACCGTCCTCATAAGGGGGCGGGGGGGGGGGGTTGTGTGGAAGAACCCGGGGAGGGTCTCGAACAACTAGGGGTGGAGCTGGTTGCTCACCCTCCACCCACTGCCAAACATAACCTAAGGATTTTCGTGTGAACGATTTGGGTGCTATGTTAAAGGGTCGCAAGGTTATACGCGTTAAAACATCAACGTCAACCATCGATTTTTTGTAAGCATGTGGCAAACAAGGACAAAACTATATAATACAGCATCTAAAATTTAGGTTGCATAAAATTTATCTATTCTGATAGGACATTACCATATAATCATAGTTTGTTCACCCAACAAAACATGAAAATGAACTTAGTTGTACAAACTAATCTTTAGCTACAGCTTCTGGGATGCACATTTACAACCTATTAGTTTTATATAGTTTTATGGTTATTTATAACGCTGTTATCACAATCAATACAGTTTTAAAAACCAACCATTGATAAGATACCACCATCGCAGGAAGGCAAGTGATTTCTTTTAAGTCTGGTATACGGTGTGCCCAGTATATAACTGAATACTGAATATTCTAAATATGCTGGGTATGCTGAGTATAGTCCCACTTCAGTTCCAGCTGCAGAAGGTGTTGAAGACGTTGGAGCAATGGTCGTCCACGTGGCTCAGGCCCACAACATCGCACATCCTGGCGGGCCGAAAGCACAAGGTTGCTCAATCCTGATTCCAAAAGAAAGGCATACAATGAGATGTCAACCAAAGACTTCTTTTTCGAGCTCTGACTTCTACACAAACTGATATGATACAGCTTGTTGAAAAGGGATGGCCCAAACTTCTGGTCCTAATTTGTTTCCTGCTCATGTTGGCGTCATTTGCATCCATTCGCTATTCCATAAACACGTAAAGACCGGCGACTTCTTGTTGAATAGCAACGTGGCCACACCCTGTCCTCTCTGCCAACGGAGGCCACATAATCTTCGTCAGGTTCAAGACCGTCACGATCATGACAAAGTTAAACCACCCTTTACAATGCTACGCTGGTGATTTGGATATCCGCTTGGATTGGTATTCTACGATCAGCATCTTATTAGCATTTTTACGAGGCAACTGTTTTGAGTAGAAGGCATTTGTAGGCAGTCCATAGTCTCGTCCCCAGTCCATCTTGCGTCAAACCACGCTCAAAGTCTGTTCAAGAAATGCAAGTAGCACCACACAATCTATGCAAAAGAAAGTTGCGCACAGACTCTCACATCACACTCTTGTCCATAACAGCCAGACCTCCAATCCATGCTTTGTCATGTCAGCAGCTTGCAGTTTGAACATGTGCAAAGTTCGTTTCAGTACCAACACACGCCGAACCCGAGCCCAGCCTCTGGCCAAGCGGCTGCTTTCCTGTCGAGATCTTGAGAGACAGAGCATCGAGAAAAAAAGGAAATCGAGGCTGGTAGGGCAACAAAAAACCAGGAATGAACCAGAGCCGGTTCCACCTTCAGATTCACTTACCTGAGAAGCGGGGAAAGAAAACCAGCTCTCATAATGAAACCCCCGCGCACAGCAAATTGCCTGACCTTCTCCATTGAAATCCTCCAGTCGTAGCCTAGCCCTAACTGCACAGAAAGTTTTGAGGCAGACATCCTGAAACTCTGCTGGTGGCTTACGTATATTCAGTCTCTCGAGCAATTTGTTTCACTGGCCAAAAACCGGACTGAAGGGGAACCGATACCCTATTGCCGCAAATTTCCTACGCGTAATACCAACAAAATTGGAGTTCGACGGTTGGAGCAAGCCCGTGCGCATCACAACTGAAAGCATTAAACTTCCTGCGCAGGACACCTTCAAATTTGGAGTTCTCTAGTTGCAGCAAACCCGCAAGCATCACGACTGCGCGTACTCCAGGCCGCCTTCCTAAAACTCTGTTGGGCAGCTACGTATCTCTAGTCTCTTAAGCAAAATATCTCGCTCCATCGATTTCTCTGACTAGCTACTTAGCTCACCCACGAAAACCCAGACCGAGGGGGAATCGATGCCCTACCGCAGCCAATTTCCAACACCTTCAAAGTTGGAGTTGTTAAAGGGAACACGCCGTTCCTGGCTTAAGATAAGCTCAACATGGCACGAATATGGCCCCAACATGGCGTCTACGAGCCTAATATGGATCAACATAGGCCCAACATAGGCCATATACGGCACATGGTCCCGACATGATCCAAAAACGACGTGTTCCTTTTGGGCCGGGTAAAGGCTAAAAAGGAACACGCCGTTCTTGGCTTAACGTAAGCTCATCCTGGCACGACGGCGTACACTTTTTCGACAGCTTGATTCCTAAAAGTGCTCAGAAGCTGAGGTGTTTTGTGCGTTTTGACTTCGAAATGTGCTTCGTGCCACAACGGCGTGCACTTTTTCCCTCTCATCCGGCCAGATGACTCCGCACCCGCTGCTTTAGCGAGCCTACTTTTCGACCCTCCTGAGCCCCAAATCATTGGAAAAACACAGTGCTTCGCGACTTTTCTACCTTTTTGGCGCACCTGCATCTTCTTTCTTCTGACTCTTTCTCTTCTCTGATCTTCTTTCTTCTTCTCTTCTCTTCTCTGACTCTTCCAACCTCTCCTTCTCCATCTGTTCATATTGTCAGAAGTTTGACTTCTAAACTTCCTTCGATTATCCATAGTACGGACATACACAGAAGAGGAGTGGATGCCGCACCTCAAGAATAAGGTTTTGTGAAAGATAAATATGGATGAAAAACCTTGCACATCTCTCAGTTCTCCATGTACCTACATTGAGGACTTATATTTCTGGAGATCTTGGTGAATGCTTTTTTTGAGATAACCCCACAGTCACCAGGGCCCAAATGTGTCCTCGTTGCTCAGAGTACGATATAAACGCTCTGCTGGTGACAACCGGATGGTTGGATGTCCAGAGTTGATCAACGCATCTTGAATATCGCTCCAAGTGCCTGAGCCAAATTCCACCCTGAAAAGCTGAATATAAATCTGATGAATCTGATAAATCTGCGCGCTACCAGCACTACGTCAAAATATAGACCTGTATCTCGTTAGCTCCGTCGCAAGACGGACACAACACCATGATACACCATGCAAGCTAGGTCGTTCCTCCAGTCACCCAAACTTGCCAAGGTACAGAACGGCTTTTGAAGGTTGCCAAAGAAGTTTACCTACAATGTTTCAAAAGCTTCAATGTTCATCCGGAATGTAGAAAATGCTAAACACCAGCAACTAGAATAAGCGCAAACAATTCCTGCCGTCAAAAGCATGCCGACAAAAGTCAAAAGCGTCTGAGATCTCAAGTCAGAAAGCACAACAAAGGACCTGGAACCAATCAAGCGGCTGCACCCTTTGTGGATCTCCCGTACTGTCCAAGTCGTCAAACACGACGACTAATAGCAACTTAAAGCATAATAACATCGAATAGCATTCTAAAACAGTGACAATCACGTCGATTGATTATGTCGATTAATGTCGATTAATGATATTTTTGTTTTTTTTTGGAAATGTTGAAATGTTCATGTCTTGTCGTCAGCTTTGGTGCCTCCAGAGCTCCTGGCATCCCAAAGGCTTGCATCAACTTTAGGGACATGTTGCGAAGCGCCAGCAGCGGTAAATCCTACAACTCTTGGAGTGTCGCACTGCTCTGCACTTCTTGATTAAATTATATACTCTGTTTCTTAATTTTTATTCCGTTGAATTAAACTTCTATTATCTTCTATTCAATTCTATTCAGTCCATTATTGACTTCCATTCATTGCCGTACTTTGGCTTTGCTATTCTTTCCCTCTGTGTAGCAAAAGTCTAATCCCCACATGAGAAGGTCCGTGAAACTGTCGATAGCTCAATACAGCTCAAAACTGCCCCACGTCTATCCCTCCGCGCTTCAAGACAATGTGGATCGCCCGGTTGAGCCCCTTTTGACCTGATATTATACTCAGGAAACTTCTTGAGATTTGAGATGCGTGCCGTCTTATTGGGATCACGTGCGTCTTCCTTTCATGTGTTTCATTTTGGAAACGAGATGTTGAATTGCTGGCGCACGAACATTCTATCCGAGTTCCGCCATCATGCCTGTGGGATCCTGTGGATGTGTTTGTCTGCAGAAATGTTTGTCAACACGGTACTAACTCACCTTTGCTTGCATAGCAGCTCCTTGCGCAAAGTTTTGGCCGCCAAATGGTCATACAGCTGTCTAAAGAAGTAGATCTCAAAGATCATCTGCTTGGGAGGAGTGAAGGGAAGTGGATATTCCTTGGCTGGTAAAGTGCTGTGAGTATACAGAAACAGAATGGCTGATTTCTATCTTTGAAATAAGGGCACAATAGAATATAATCGCAAAACAGAAGAAAAAGGCATTAAAAAGTTATTGAAAGAAAAATTATGCAAACTTTGTGAGATTCAGATCTGCTGACCTCGAAGAAGTTCCCACTGAGATTGTAGATCTTGTTGCCTTGGATTCTTGGATGTGAATTCTTTTGTGCAAACATCGAACACGCCCAACAGTGTCCCCTAGCTGCCTGAAAATGCCCCTGGTTCTAATCCAGGTTACGTGCTCAATTGTTTGCAACAAGTGCACTCATCCCGGATCTCCATCAACCATCAATCAACCTCTCTTATTTCCTTTCACCGCACATCACGATCTTCCAACTAAGCCCTTCACAATTTATTTGGCATCTGTCACACAAGCCACCCGCACTGACTTCGGAGTCAAATCAAAACCGATTATTGTAGTACAATTCCTTATTCAATTCCTTTCAGTTTTTTTGAATGCGTGTCAGATTTGATTGCAGAATTATTGCAATACAACCATACAAAGAAGCTAAGAAGCAACTCCAATAAGAAGCGTTTCAGGATGCCAAGCTACGTGGGGGATCCCCGGCCGTCAATGCTTCAGTCGCTTCCTCCATGGGTACCACGACCACTCGGGGTGCCGGAAGATGTCGGAAGATGTCGGAAGCACTGAAGTCATTTTTTTGAGCAGCAAATGGGGTGGGTCGCGGAGGGTGGTCCGTGTCACAGAAAGGACAGGACAAAAATCCTTGTGAGAAGGACATCAAAGCATTGTCAAGACCACTTCACGAATATGAATATCCTATCCGACCGATTTGTTTCGTTCCGTACACGAGTGAGTGTATTCTGCATATATTTGACTTGACAAAGTGTTGTTGTCGTTGAAATTTGAAGAACGCTCAAGCATACGATACTCTGTGCGCAAATCCCTACTGTTCAACGTCCCCAGACCAACTCTGCCAGGAAAAAAGAAGGCCAGATCAGGACATTTGCTCTTTTTCTGTGATTTCCTCATGAAATGCTAGGGTCCCTGCTGGTTATTCAGGATTACGCCTGCAACAGCTAAAACTGCCACCTGTCGCGCAGGTATGCGGGTGGGTGATGTTTTGAAGGGCGAGTTGAATGGATCAATAAAATTCTGCGTGGCCAAAAGATTTCACTTTTCGAATTATGAAAAAATTGTAAAACATAACCTTTGGTGTCACCTTTTGAGGAGGCATCAGTTCGTGTGAGAGCGCTTTGCATGGAGAGAGGTTGCATCTGACAAGAACCGAAGTTCCAAACAGAGACCTCAGGAAAGGTGCCTTTTGGTCGCAGGTTTGCAAGAGCCGTATCCAATTCACAAATTTCCACCACTGAGGAACCCTATGTTCTTGCTGCCATACATTGCTATACTATCCCTGTTGGAGCCTCTAGGACTCTAAGAACTACAAAAGCATCGGTTTCTATGCCAAGACTTTCAAGAACCACAGGGCAAGTCGGCAAGTCAAACAATTACTGCCAGGCATACGGTTGGATGGGCATCCTCAGGCAAAGCACAATCCTGAAAGAGGAAGGTCTTGATAATGTCCTGGTCCAAAGGACCGGCGGAAAGCTGAGACCAGATTGAGACTGCAGTGAACATGACCCAAAGATACCCAAAGACACCCAAAGTACATGAAGACACCATGAATACAAATACAAATTCATACAAGTATTTGTTATGAAACACTCTTTGAGGACAAATGACAAGAATGACAGAAACCTCCAGGACCCTACTTGCAGTGCCCCATATCCAACCCAGGGCTCCTGGAGAGACTTGAAGGCAATGTTGGGATACTTCTCTTCCTTGACAAGAATCCCCGGGGCTCTCTGTTTTTTCTCCACGAAGTCAGTCCAATTCACCTTTTACAGCATCAACCTTCATGGCAAAAGGATGGAGGCACAACACACAAGAATCAAAAATTGCCCCAAAGTGAAGCCGAGGCAATCTCACAAAGGTGCTCTTTTCCATGCTTCGGGACTCCATCTGTATAATATAATGTTATATAATATATATATATATAACGTTTGTTCCCCACATCACTGTGTGGGGTTCTTGTTTTTCGCTTGGATCCCGCCGGCAGGTTCCCGCGTCCTCCTCCTCCGCCGCCTCCTCCGCCACTCACTCACTCACTCACTCACTCACTCACTCACTCACTCACTCACAGGCGCAGTACACAGAGCCTCCTGGACGAGCTGCGGCGCGCGTGGCCACCGCTGGGGGTGGCCGCCGCTGGGGCCGCGGCTGCCTTTCGCGTGGCAGGCGCAGGCTGCCTTTCGCGTGGCAGGCGCAGTACACAGACCTCCTGGACGAGCTGCGGCGCGCGTGGCGGCCGCTGGGGCCGCGGCTGCCTTTCGCGTGGCAGGCACAGTACACAGAGCCTCCTGGACGAGCTGCGGCGCGCGTGGCCGCCGCTGGGGCCACGGCTCATCACAGCTCCACTCCTCACACCTCCACTTCTCACACCTCACTTCTCACGTCCTCACCTCTCACATCACTTATCACATCACCACTCATCACAGCTCCACTTCTCACACCTCACTCATCATATCACAGCACAACTCATCACAGCTCCGTGGTCAGCAGACTGCCTTTCGTGTGGCAGGCGTAGTACACAGAGCCTCCTGGACGAGCTGCGGCGCGCGTGGCCGCCGCTGAGGCCGCGGCTGCCTTTCGCGTGGCAGGCGCAGTGCACAGAGCTTTCGCGTGGCAGGCGCACTACACAAACCCTCCTGCAGAAGCCGCGCGCGTGGCCCCCGCTGGGGCCGCGGCTGCCTTTCGCGTGGCAAGCGCAGTACACAGAGCCTCCTGGACGAGCTGCGGCGCGTGTGGCTGCCTGCTGGGGCCGGGGCTCTCTTTCGCGTAGCAGGCGCAGTACACAGAGCCTCCTGGACGAGCTGCGGCGCGCGTGGCTGCCGCTGGGGCCGCGGCTGCCTTTCGCGTGGCAGGCGCAGTACACAGAGCCTCCTGGACGAGCTGCGGCGTGCGTGGCCGCCGCTGGGGCCGCGGCTGCTTTCGCGTGGCAGGCGCCACTTATCATTCACCCCTCATCACGCACCACTTATCACATCTCACTCATCACTTCTCACTTACCATTCTCACAGCTCACTCACCACTTATCACATGTCACTCATCATTCACCACTCATCACTACACCACATCTCACTCCCCACTTGTCACTGTCTCATCACACCTTGTCACATCCCAACTCATCACAGCTCCACTTCTCAAACCTCACTCATCACAGCTCCACTGCTCATCACAACTCATCACAGCTCCACTTCTCACACTTCCACTTCTCATCACTTCTCACAGGTCCACTTCTCATCACAACTCATCACCACTCATCACAGCTCCACTCATCATCACAAGCCATCACAGCTTCACTTCTCACACCTCACTTATCACATCACAACTTCTCATCACAACTTATCACATCCCAACTCATCACAGCTCCACTTCTCACGCCACTTCTCACACCTCACTTATCACATCACAACTCATCACAGCTCCACTTCTCACACCTCACTTCTCACACACTCATTCATCACAGCTCCACTTCTCACACCTCACTTATCACATCACAACCCATCACAGCTCCACTTCTCACACCATCTTTCACACACCCTCTTTGACACACCATCTTTTACACACCATCTTTCACACACACAACTTTGTCACCCACCATCTTTGACACGCCATCTTTCACATACCACTTTGTCACACACAATCTTTCACACACAACTTTGTCACACACCATCTTTCCTCCACCTCCTCCTTTGTCTTTCCTTCCTTCCCCGTCCCCGCTACAACATTTCTGGCTCATTATTGGAAGAAGTTGACTTGTGGGGTTATGCGGTCCTTTTCTTTTTCTATTTATATGTATGTATATATATATATATATGTACCTAGTGATATAGGAAACTACAACCCCTCTGAAATCCACTGCTCCGTTCCCATAAAGAAATTGACAGCGGAAGGTTCAAGCATCGTCCTTCCAACGAATCCCAATTACTAGTCATTCCCTAGAACTTACAACCCATGTGTCCGCCCGTTCAACATCTGTCTGCGTGAAAATAGGCCGATCTTGTAGCCTCGACCCACATCACGACCTTTGCTGCGTACCTGGTTGTCGTGCCACCGCAATCAGCCGACAGCACCAGCTTTACACCAGGCCCAACACCCTCCAACGGGTCGATGCGACGAGCGCCCTGCAGAGTCATGAGACCACAGCAAGATATCTGCTGAGCGCACTGCAAAAGAATGCAAGTGTGGTGAAGGGGTGACAAAGCAGCGCCTGAACTTATCTGAACTTAAAGATTTTCGCTGTCAATATGGAATGCTAAATAGCCTCTGGACCGCCTGAAATCCAGAGCTACTTTGGTTGTCACTATTCTGTCCCGTTAAAATCTCTCAGCAGTAAAGGAACTTCCATGTATTATCATTTATTACATATTATATATTATACACAAATATACAGTAAACTTCAAATATTCAACATACTTTAAACAACTGTGACTGTTACCGACACCTTCTTTGGGAACCTGCGGCAGTCGAGCATCAGAGCATAATCGTATAACCCCTCTCAATACACCGAGTCAGGGAACCACTAGATGGTCTCTGCGATCGTCGTGATCCGCACGGCTGATGTGTCTTTGCAGCTGCAACGCCTAGGTGCAAGAGAGAAAAGTTGTCGGACAAGGCCTTCACAATTGCAAATCATCCGTTGTTCAATGTCATCAAAATGTTACCAAAATGTTATCAAGTAATGGAGGATGACTTTACAGCGAAGAGAAGAAGTGCTTGCATCGCTGGCCCATATTTCTCCAGTTTCTGGAAACGCTTGCTCCATTCAAACCCAGCTTCGAAGTACTCACTAAAGTTGCATAACGCCTTCAGTATTATCGATAGTAGATTTATATGCTATTGGTAGCTTTACGCGTAGCTTTACCTTGCAACATCTTGCAACCTTCATCAAAGAAACATCGAAACGTCAACTTCCTAAAGAAACCTCGACTCTGCGAGCCGCGGCCTCACAACTAGATCGCCTGCACTTCCATTCTTCACCTGTTTCAAAGGCCCACATGACGCTTCTCATGAGAAAAGAAGTTACAAAGAAGTCACAAAATCAGAAATCTCCAATTCCACCTGCAGCCGCTCCACAAGGGATGCAGACTGACTACTGTTTAGACTACTCACAAATTCCATCGAATCTCCACAGGCTGGAGACACCTCGGGTAGCTAAACATGAATTCCCTCGCAACCATCAAGCGTGGGCCTATCCGCTGGGCGGCCAGGGTGGAGGCAATAAGACCTAGTCCTGGAGCGTGGGCAGCTTTCCAAAACATGTTCCAGATCCTCATGGCAAATCATAGTCACATCAGTTCCATCTGGTAATCTAAGGATATCTTATGTACAAAGGAGGTAATCAATGGTAATCAGTTTTGGAACTTCGTAGTTTGTTGTTTCCTTCTCCGCAAAGAGTACCACTATTGTCCCTGATTCAATTCGCATGGCTCTTTCGTTTGTACTGGCTATTCCGTGGTGGAACTTTTGCCTGTCGAGCCTAAGAGTCCAATGGCAGGAACAGCTGAAAATTATCTTTATAATTTTGTCTTTTTTGGTCTTTTGGGCTAATTCTTGGAATTTAGACCGTTTAGACAGTTTAGATTGATGTAAACATCGCAGTGTTTGACAGTGCGCTCACCCCGATGCCCAACGGCCTCTGCAGGAGGGGTCCACCAAGCGAGAGAAGCAACGCCATGCAGAGCCCGCCATAGCTACAATCCCAAAGCCCAACTGGGCTATCAGGGCAAATGTCAATGGCTATCAAATTACTGTTTACATTTGCATATTATGTACACATATTGTATCTATATGACATGTTCTATTATATTATATTTATATTTTAATATCATATTATACAATTATACTACATACATCATACTTCCAATGCTCATTTAGGAACCATCTGTGCTGTTCATGGGGGCGGGTAGATGGAAAGAAATGGGTTGTCCGGTGAGGATGACTCAAATTGACTCAATTGAACTATACAGTGTATACTAAGTGTATACTAAGTGTATACTTCTGTGTGGCTCGGTCATCGCTGACTTATTCAAACATGCCAAAACAAAGCCGTCGATGCGTTAGTATTGCGTTTCTTGGCTCAGCTAAACGACTACACGTTTGGAAAATATGGCTGCGTTGGGATTGTTGCGAAGTCACCCAGGTTTGAAAGCCTACATATTCGCCGAAGCCTCCATATTCGCCGTCACTGTATCCATCAAAACACGGTTTGATCAAGACACTGGAAGAACGAAAAAAGGACTACAACACTATAGAAACATATAGGAAAAAAACGATTTTAATTGGCCACAGGTCTGAAGAGCCCAGCTTCAGGACAGAACATCAAATTTCTGCCGCAAATGGAAGCAGATCCCACCAAGCCCCACAGGCAAGAGACAACTTGGCTCGTAGCCCAGCCAGGCCTCCAAAATGTTGTTCATGAAAGGATCATGGAATCATGGTTTCCAAACCATGGATTGAAAGACTCAGCTTGATTGTGGGCTGTTCCTTGGACCTGCAGCACGAGTAAAGCCTGTGAGTAACCACACGGAGGAACCAATTGACGTCCCTGGAGTTGCAACCTGTGTACAGCCCTGCTGGCCCGCAAGTGAATCACCATAAACGCTCCACAGGGAGTTTTCCGTGCCTGAACAGGAAAGATATTTCCAAGTGCTCAGGTTTCATGCTGAGGACAGAAAAGGCACAAAAAAGGAAGGGGAAAAAATCAGAGCATATTTTACCATCTTACCAGGTCTTACCTTGTCTCCGCTTGTCTCCGTCTCCGCTTGTCTCCGCTTGTCTCCGCTTGTCTCCGCTTGTCTCCGCTTGTCTCGTGATCCCTTGCGGTCCTGAGGCACAGCTGCACTTTGGCAGCTTGAGCTTGAGCTGCGGTTTGGCAACAGCATTCTTTGGAGGACAATGAGGCCCCAAGCCCCGGCATTCCTGCCCCAATCTAGAAACGTCGTGTTCAATTTTTCTTCTTGTGGAGGCGCCATGAAAAAGTTGAACGTAAGGTTGCCGAAGGAAGTGTAGAAGTCAAACTTCCAACGGCATGGACAGATGGAAAAGCAGGGGTGGGAAGAGTCAGAGAAGAGAAGAAGAGACACGATCAGAGAAGAGAAAGAGTGAGAAGAAGAAGAAGAAGAAGAAGACGCAGGTGCGCGAAAATGTAGCAAAGCCGCGAAACACTATGTTTTTTCCAATGTTTTGTGGCTTCGAAGGTCGAAAGGTAGGCTCTCTAAAGCGGCGGGTGCGGGGCCATGTGGACAGATGAGAGATGAAAAATTGCACACCGTTGTGGCGCGAAGCACATGTCCAAGTCAAAGTGTTAAAAACACCACGTGTTCAGACCACTTTTGGACGTTCAGATGTCGTTTTGCGTTGCAGGCGCAAGGGATTGTGCACCTTGTCAAAAATGAACAAGACGTGAGGTTTTTGAAGCAGTTTCAAAAGCGACATTGAAGAGGATCTGGAAAGATGCATTTTCTGTGGCAGGCGCAGTACAAGAGACATGTTCATGAGAGATGTTAGGAAGTCAGGGCGCTGATTTCCCAAGGGAGGTTGCATTTTGGAGCATCAGATCTTCAGTTTTGGGAAGATGATTTTGTGTGACAGGTGCAGCGCTTTGTATGACCTGGCATCACTTTTTCGTGGCAGGCGCATACTTCAGAGACATGGACTGGGAGAATCGCCAAACGCATTGGCACGAGGCCGTTCGCTCTGCAGTCAACTTTCCATTTTTGAAGGAAGTCTCGCAGAATTGCTTCATTTTTGATGTTGCCAACTTCAAAAATTGAGGAAGTCTTGCAGAATTGCTGCGTTTTTGATGTTGGCAAGTTCAACCATTGAGCAAGTCTCGCAGAATAGCTTCGTTTTCAAGCTTTCAGGTAGAAAGATAGATAGATAGACAGACAGACAGATAGATAGATAGAAAGTTGGTCGGTAGGGAGATAGATAGACTGACAACGACAACTACAACTACAGTACAGTACACTACACTACAACTATATACATCTACAGCTACATTTCACAACACTACACTACATTAATTACACTACAACTACAGCTACAACTACAACTACACTACAGTACTTCAAACTACAGTAGACTACAGTACTCTATGCTACACTACAGTACACCACACTACACTACATCACACTACACTAATTACACAACACCACAGCTACAACTGCAACTACAACTACACTACACTAATTACACTACACTTGAACTACAACTCCACCACACTACAACTACAACTACAACTGCGCTACACCACACTACATCCAGCAAGTGTGGGTGAGGTGACCACTGCAACCAGTACAGCCATTCCAAAAAAACACAACTCTAATCACCTTTCGGTCCATCAGTGGATTCGCTCTGCCATCCGGGATTCACAACAACCAACCTCTCCTATATGTTTCCTATTTTTGAAACTTCCGCCACCGCCTTGTGCGGTACTTCTGGTATAAGGGCCATTGATTGACTTGGCATTCCAATTGGATTGGATTTTCACAATTGGGGTGCCAATCGAAACCAGGGCAGTAGATAATGTTCGCAGACAACAGGTCCATGGTGCCCAAAGCCAGGTAGGCTTGCCTACTGATGGAATATTCACAGAACTGTCTGCTGCATATGTCATCAACATAGATTTCATCAAGCCTGGCTGCTTGCACAAAACCAGCAAAAACGCACAAACCCTGGCATCTTTCCTTTCCCAGCGGTCAAGGCTTTGATTCCGCCAAACCAAGCTTCCTGAGCTTGCAGGGCGGCCAAATACGGCAGATTTGAATTGGTTGAGGAGGGTTGAGGATGGTTGAAGATGTCTAAGGAACGACTTGCGAAGGCATTAAAAAGGATCCTGTTCTGCCATCCGAGGTTCTGTTCCAACACATCTGCCGCCAGCTTGGCATAGCAGTGGCCAAAATGGACCAAGTCCACTGTGAGATCTAGACCTTGTTCTTCCTGCCCAAGTCAGCTTCAGTGCTTTTGAAACGCCCCAAAGTCAGCTGCAAGACACTGAGCTACCACAGCGTTAAAATGCACCAGGATGCAAATCACAAAAGTGTTTGCAAGTCTTTTGTGAGCCCTCCTAAGACATCCCAAGACCCTGTGAATCTCCTGAATTTGACTCAAGGATTGTCGGGCAGCGTAAAGCCGCCATGGCAAGACACAAAGGCCAGGTAAAAAATCCATCAGTGAGTATCGACCTTGGTGCGAGGGTGAATACAAGTGGATACGGAGAAAAGGCCGCAAAAAAATATCACTTTTTTGAGACAATGTTTTTCTTGAAAAGACTCATGTATGATTCACTGTATGATCCTTACTTTTCTTCAACAATCCAACGGAGTCTGAAGGGGCAACATCATTCCAACAAACCAAAACTGGAAACTATCCGTAAAGAAAGTCAGCGGTTTGTGAACGAACTTGAGGTCAATCTGCACTGGGAATTCAAACAGCATGCATACACACAAGCGTCATCTTCAAGGTACTAACACCTGACAAAATCCAATGACAGGGAGTAGTCTTCAATGTCCAACAGTGCCACCCATAAGTTCGCTGCCATTCAAAATAATATCCAAAGTTGCCTTTCTAAAGACGGGCTAGCAATATGAAGTCCGCTGAAATCCCATGTCCCTGCACTTCTCCCTTTGACCAAATGCAAAGTGGGCTGCTCGCTGTAGTTGGATCCTTCTGTCCAGCGGCCAAGTATGCCACACAAGCCTGGAGTAGGAAGGAGATGCTCAACTATTGTAAGTAGTGTGAGTAATATGCTAGGAAAATGAGATGTGGCTTCAAGAAAGCTGTTACTTAGAACCTGCTGTCTGTGTCGCTTTCGAGCCTCGTAAAGAGGGACATAGCTGCAGCCCAATTCAGTAGCAACCAACTCTATCCGTCTCGCCATCTCCGCTCCCAAACGAAACTCTGGTGATGACAAAGCCTTCAGAGGCACCAAGCGCCAGAGACAAGGGATGCGGAAGGGTGGCTGCAGCAGTTGAGGAAGGAATACAGCAGTACAGTGCATACCTGTTTCATGGGCAACAAGTTGTGGCAGGACACTTTGTTTTACGACATGTTTGCAAGTTGATATATACCCTGAACGATGTTCAACTGTTAACATCCTATACACACTTTTTGACTCAAATGACATGTTTTTTTTCTTGCACGTGCACCCTGGCCAAGCCTCCCCCAAAGGCGGTGGTGATACCAGAAAGACTTTGCCACCATTGCAACCTAGTTGCGTGGCAGCCTGCAGGCTCAAATCTGGTGACAAAGTTGAGGCTCAGAATGTCTCAGAAAGCATGAGTCAACTCCCCATGGAAGATGTGCATACCAAAGCTCGCAGCTTCAAGGCCCATACTACTTTGTCTCGAGGCAATTCTACATATGAGTGACTGCCTTCTGCAGCTCCTCCAAAGAAGCCCTTTCCCAAGGTCTACTGGTTCTGGACTAAAAATGGTTGAAACCACATGTGAAAAAGAATCAGCAAACAATTTGCTGGCAAAGCAACCTATATATGTGAATAATCTCGAGGTTAAAATTGTCAAACTTCAAATGTGCATAAAGCCAAAGGACAAGCGAAATGTGTCAAAAACGGTTCAAACGGCCTGGTGCATCAGCTTTGCATAGTTCTGAAGCCACTCCTCAAATCTATTGTTTGAGCCGGTTGGAATGAGTGCACCACCGCCAACACCACCACCACTACCACTACCACCACTTGCCAAAATCCGCCCGCACCAAAGGTGCCGAAGCGTTTTTTGTGCGCACGCATTAACCAGAAGCAATTGCAATAGCTATTAAGCTTGAACCTAGCGGCTAGTGCTTCTGGCTAAAATAGGAATAGCCAACAAAGCCGTCACAGGGAAAAACCTTCTTGGAAGGGAAAAAAACCTGCGCCAAAACAAGGGAGGACGGACTCATGCCGACGAATCCATGCCCCCCATCAAAAAAGGATAGGCCGCGTCAGCCGTGGAGGACGAAAGCCATCCGAAACATGCAAAAGAAAGGATGGCTAATCTCGAAAACAAAGCCTCCGCGCCCTAAGCTTCGAGTAGAGAGAGCCAAAAAAAAAAAAGCTTTATTGCTTTAGAATCCTGTAGTTTTCCACGTTTTTTTCAAGGGACCTAAAATCGGCTACGTTGCAAACTTGGGCTCAGCATGGCCCAATATAGGCCCAACATGGGCCCAACATAGGTCCAACATGGTCCCAACTTGGCCAACATAGGCCCAGCATGGGCGCAACATAGGCCCAAGGTGGCCCAACATGGGCCCAACACAGCCCAACATAGAGCCAACATGTGCCCAACATGCCCCCAACATTGAGCCCTACAAAGGCCCAACATAGAACATATATGGTCTTATTGGAACTTCGGAGCTAACACTCCGGTTCGGGCAGTTGTCGTCGCGAAGCGACCAGAATACGATTGCTTCCATACCACCGCTTTCACCCCTGTTCAACCATGCTCAACCCATTTGCACTTGTCCCTCCTCCTCCGTTGGGCGAAGTAGCTCTGGTACCGACAGGTAGCGGATTAAGTCCTTGCCATATCTGGGAATTAGCTAGGGTCAGGCAAAGACCAATAAAGCTGCATTCACATTGATCACGGCAAAGAGCAAAGAATTCAAAGTAAGGAGAAAATCAAAACAAGCTTAATCTAGTCGTTTGTTTTGAAGTGGTTTTCGGTTATCAAACTGGCGACAAAACTTCGTCAAGTCTTGCCAAAATTGAACATCCGAGCTTTGGCAATCCCAGCCAGGTCGTGGTTTTATAAGTTGTGCAATCGACTATGTCCATCAACTGCCCCCGGCTTCAATATGGCTAGGTCTCAACAATTCAGATAGCAGGAAACAAAAAAAACACTGGTGGGCTTACTGCAAGGTGAAAAGCCTGCACGCTTCAAGCAACTACCCGGGAGATGACCCTTTGTTATGGGAAAATCAGCCGTATGGGATGCAAGCGCGACACCAGCAGAGCCCAAACCTTGTTGTTTGTTGTTTGACCGGTTTGACCCACTGTGAAAGCCGAAGATTCATTGGATCCCAACTGTAGCACCAATCCATGGCTACACCTGATCTTGGCCGCAGTTTTCATCAACTCAGCTGGCGGATCAGTCACCACGTCTTCCAACGCTCGGAAATTCAATCCTCAGCCAGGCTCAACATGTTAGAGTCGTATTAGAGTCTTATTATAAGAATTTTATCATTAGAGTTTTATCAGCCGTTTCGCTGAGGAGAGGCAACGAGTGGCCCAAGTGGCCTGCATTGACAAAGTCTCCCAAATGCTGCTGGCCTCAGCCGAGGTGCCACATGCCATGCACCTTCCTCCAGGTGGTGCTCAAATTGCTCAAAGGCTGAGTTGCAAAAGTAAATGTAACCCGTTTTTGAATAACTTGTTCCTTGTTGTTTGGTACAATAAATTCAATAAATCAACAAAATTAATTATATACAATAGTCAATAGTGGTAAAGAAGATCAGAGAGTGCACTTCTCCAAGATTCAAATCGCCAGGACCCAAAGGATACTGAACCAGGGATCTGACGCCTCTTGCACCGATCTGCAAGAACCTAGGTTGGCCCAACATGCCAAGACACGATTCCACTCCAGCCAATCCAGCCACACCCCAAAGATCCTCATAGTGGATACTATTTACTCATGTTTACTTGTGAGCACCTGCATGAGATCTGCGATATAATCACCTGACACGGTTATCTGGAACTTCTTGGTGGATAGGGCAAAATCCCATACAATTCCAGCACCAATGTGCAGTCTGATGCTAAATGACTGCGCTTGCAAAGATTTGATGAAGCTGAGAATAAGGCCCCTCCTTATTGATTGAACATTAAAGAACCTTGGGGGCATGAGTCACAGACTCTAGAATCGCATGACCCAACCTATGGGTTGCGAATCGCTTGCAAATCCTTTGTGTGGTTTTGTGCTTTCGAGCTCTGAGCTCCTGACTTCCACGACATTTGCTGAGACTGTCCCTTGCCTTTGTTCGTTTGTTCGGGCCAGGTGTCACGTCTTGCCATCTGGACATGGTTTCCCCCGTGTGTATGTCACCGTACCTCAATGTGTCTCACTGTTGGAAGAAACTTGTACAGAACCTACAATGAGTGGAAGCAAAACCATGAAGAAGTTGACGCGGTCTGTGTGCATGTGTGTGTGTGTACACCGTTATAACAAACGGTTTTAGTTCTTGTCATCGATCTTGTACTATTCAAACAAAAAGCAGGGGGCAGAGGTACCCATGTCACTTCCTCTGCCAACGAAGCTGGGTGACATGTGGTAAAGATATAGATCAGGGACGCCTGATCTACGTACCTGCTATAGTTTCAACTGTTGACTGTCTGTTCTTGTTTATGAGCTGTGCGTTGTTTCTTCGATCGTAAACCTGTGTCCGCTGAAATTCTACTGCCAGGCAACTCAGGAAATCAGGCGAAGACTATGACATCCTTCACACTTCTTACTGGCCATTACCCCACAGTGTGTCCTGGGTGTTTGACCTAAATTGGTCGCACCGTCGGTTGGTTTCGACCAATCAAACAGTCATGAGCGGGCATTTTCCCGTATTCCGAGTGGAGTATGAATCTCCGAAGCCGTATGCACTTCGAGTGCATTTCAAGCGTCATATGACGGAGTCAAGATTTTACACTGTAAAATCCAATCGAAGCAGCCATAAGGCGAAGTAGCCATAAGGCAGAAGTTCTCGTCCAGTTCGGACAAAGCAGACATAAGTCGAAGTTCCCAGCACCACGGGTGCAATTCAAGTGCGTTTGGTCCCTTTTTTGTCCGACTCTCAGCCATCTTTTGTATTTCAACTTATAAGGATACTTTCATTGTTTAATTTTTCAATTTTCAAATTTCGACTCTCATTAGTGCCAGTTTTGATGTTTTCGAACCATGTTTCCTAAGAGTCGTGGTCCACCCTTGCCGTCTTCTGAAGCATTTTCTACTGGACAGATCCCAGTTCGATCTACACCTTTGCCTCCTCCTCCTCCTCCTCATCCTGTTGCAAATGTTCAGAATATTCAAGAGAGAGGATCATCAGCTTTTCCAAAAACATCGGGGGTATCGCTGAACATTGTCGGACGACTTGGACAATACCGCATAGAAACTGCTACATTTGATCAGCTAGTTCCTATTATGGGTCACATTTTCGATGCTGAACGACAGGCTGCAATGCAACAAAATATGTGGAATTTTCAACAAATGATGATGACGATGAATCCAACACTGATGAATTCACCATGTTCCTGTTTATCTGTGTACCAACCATGTCGGGGTCCACAAACGGATGTTTCTGGTCCGGAACCCTGCACTTTTCGGGTGGGAACTTCGCCTACGGTCGGACACTCAATTTCTGGTCCGGGACCCAATTAACGTGATCCAATGCCTACGCGGAGAAGACAGACAGTGGACAACCAGTCGGGGCCCTATAGTTCTCAACTACGATCGACCTCGCCAACTTCTGCAGGGGCTCAGTTGGGTTCTGCCGTTCGACAGCATGATTATGATGGTGCTACTGTGCAAAGTACTTATTTCCATAATTCGAAACTTCCAGCAACTTTGATCTCCTTTTACATTGCTGAGGAAACCATTTTGGAAGTTCCTCACCCAATGTTTTCTCAACAGTTCGTGCATCCTGTCGTAGCCAGTTTTTCTTGCACTTCTTTGGAAGAGAACATGGCCACCCCGACAGATACTGATTGGACTCAGGTTTACACGTTGATGTTCAAATCTTGGGTTCAAAAACTGTCGCTGTAGTCTTGTCGTGCATTTTCATGCTTTGATCTAGCTAACTTTCCATAGCACTTTTCCTCTTTGCTGCGTCGTTGAAGTTTGTCATCTGGACACTCTGTTTTTATAGAAATTCAATTCATGTGTATTGAACCCGCTACGTTTTGCTTTCGTTGCCATGGTCTTCCTTTTGCTCATTTTGTCCATCAGGTTTGTGCACTGTTTTCATTGTAAATAAATGTTGTGTATATACGATTACACTGGACTGGAGATGAAATTTGAATGTTCGAAATTATTGCGATCATCTCAAGCTGATCATGACTACATATTCTTGTTATGCATGTTGAGTCGAAACTTGTCGGAACCTTTCTGGTCAAGAGCTCAGCAACATCTGCAGTTCCGGAACTCAGATTTTCCACTTGCCCATTACTTGTGCGATTACTCATTCTTGATGATGAGATGGAATCACAAATGAGGTCTTGGTTGAAAGGCTTTATCGTACCTCATCAAGTAAGTTTTGCTCATTCGTTATGCATTCATCGTCCTTGTCAATGGCATTAGTTGCTGATTCGGACATTTTTGGATGACAAGGTATTTACTCCTTGTAAAGCTACTCTAGTACAGACTGTACAGCAGATTCGCAATTCAGTACCTGAGTGGATTTTTCGACATTACGCGTGGGCTTGGATTTCAGTGCGAAACTCAGCACGGGTTGTTCAAAAAGGCTAGACCCATTATCAACTATAGCACATCGTGGCCGCGGAAGTTGGGCCAAGCCATTGGTATTGCATTATTGGAAATACTCAACATTGTTTATTCTGACCTTTTGAAATTTTAGGACCGTACTTGAACAAATTCGTTTGATGTTTCAAGTCATTGCTACTGATGAACGGACATTTGAAATCCATCAATCTGACATCGTTGGCTTCTACAATCAAGTGGAACATGATCGAATCCTTCAAGCTGTGTGGATTTCGCAATTCATCGTTTCTTTGCTCTGCAGTGAGTATCTTTGGAATCATCTATACAGACACACAATCATAAGTTGGAACGCACACTACGCATTTTTCAGGGTCATTGGCGGTCTCAGAGCAAGCAGTTTCGAGAATTTAAACTGGCTCATATTCGGGATTTGGTAAAATTCTTACTTCAGAACTCGTTCTTCCACGTCGGGACCCAAGTTTTTCGTCAACATCGTGGTGCGTTTATGGGCTCACAATGGGCCCCTATTTTATGTTTGGCTGTTGCATTAATAAAAGAGTTCAAGTTTTTCCAGGTTTATCCCATGTTTACAATAGAGCTCCTCAGGAGATTTTCAGATTCACCAGGCCATAATAAGTTTTTCTGCGGTTTGCCCCATTTCGGGGCCTCGGTCCTACTGTAGACGACTGTTACTGAATGGATGTCAGTGGATTGCATGTCTCCTTCAATTTTCGAACAACCTACCTTGGAATCTCCAACAACTTTTGATGTGGATTTTGAGTCAATGGACAGCTACTTCATTGCTTTTATTGGCATATAATCAAACTCAGCGTCGGATCCTCAGCATTTTTCGCTTCCTGCACCTGCCTCAGTACTGGACGTTTGAGTGGTGGTCACAAACAAACGTGGTGTATATGCGATTACATTGGATTGGAGAATTTTATATTGGGAGCACGGAAACTACGGTCTTTCTGCGAGAGCAATCTCGCACACGCAAATACAAACAACATGTGTCGCAACAGTTGGCTTTCTTTGAGCCTGCCATCAAACTATGGGGTAAACGAGACAATTTCTACCAATTTTGCATTTTTCCTCTTCGTTCCCAATGTGGGGACGCTGAACATCGCTTGAGCCTGGAACAAGCTTTACAACAAACATTGCGGCCTATTTACAATTGGCCTTGGATCAACCCTCTATTGAAACGTTGGAGAATTGGAAAGACACGTTTTGGTTTCACATCGGTTAAACCAACAGTGGCATTTGGACGTAGATTGGTACGTCGATACAAGAAACGCACACGTGCCCAATATTGTTCTCTTTTTGAGCAACAATTTGACAATCATTTGCGTATTTTTCGACTTCTTTACATGTTGGGATCTGATACACTGATGAAATTTGAATGTTCGAAATTATTGAGATCATCTCAAGCTGATCATGACTACATATTTTTACTATGCAGATTGAGTCGAAATTTGACGGAACCTTTTCGGTCAAGAGCTCAGCAGCAACTCAAGCTCATTTTGCAGTTCCGGAACTCAGAATTTCCACCTGCTAATGTCCTTGTACAATTACTTATTCTTGACGATGAAATGGAATCACAAATGAGGTCTTGGCTGAAAGGCTTTATCGTACATCATCAAGTCAATTTTCCTCCTTTCCACAAACCCAAGGTACCTTTTGTTTCAACCAAGGGTCGTACTCTGGGGTCATATCTTTTCAATTTTCGACTGCACTTGCGTTGGTGGCACCCAACTGACAGACCTACTTGCAGATGCCATTTGTTACCAAAGACGAGCATTTCTGAAACACCTCATGTTTCTATTTTCGCTGCTGATATCTCTGGTATCTGTTCTGTGTACACTGCTCATATGGAGGACCAGGTCAGTCCATCTTGGAACAAGTTTGTGGTCTTGCCCCATTTCGGGGCTAATGTGTGTGTGTACACCGTTATAACAAACGGTTTTAGTTCTTGTCATCGATCTTGTACTATTCAAACAAAAAGCAGGAGGCAGAGGTACCCATGTCACTTCCTCTGCCAACGAAGCTGGGTGACATGTGGTAAGGATATAGATCAGGGACGCCTGATCTACGTACCTGCTATAGTTTCAACTGTTGACTTTCTGTTCTTGTTTATGAGCTGTGCGTTGTTTCTTCGATCGTAAACCTGTGTCCGCTGAAATTCTACTGCCAGGCAACTCAGGAAATCAGGCGAAGACTATGACATCCTTCACACTTCTTACTGGCCATTACCCCACAGTGTGTGTGTGTGTGCGTCCTAAACTAAAATACTCTAAACATTCCCAATCCCAACCAATCCCTGTTATTTCGCCTGAGCAGATTGTGCCAAGGATTTGAACTTTTTGAGAAATGACAATCTGATCTTGATTTCTGGTCAACAGTGGCCAGGGTCACGCTACTTCACTCTGTACCACCCCTAATCCCCTCTTTGACAGCTCATCCACTCTCCATGGGCTGGTTCTCCGAGCAAAAAGCACAGTCCAGCTCGTTCCAGAACGTTCCCGCCCGTTCCTATTGCATTTAAGTGGCGTCAAACTGTCACCAACCTCGGCTTTTTCCATCGCACATAGTCTTTCTTAGTTGCTAAAGAAATTGGAAGCGTCAAGGTGCTGGGACGGGGAAGGACAAAAGAAAATGGCTGTGTGTCTCATTTTGCCATCGGTTTTATCTCCGAAGCTGAGAATGCCAACCCTCTGAATCTGAGCACCATGCAAAAACCACTGCTGCGGAATCCATTCCCTCCTCCAAGCCTATTGGTTTGGGTTTCAACCGCCTTGGCACCGCGACAATGACTGTCTGACCAAAACATGGAGTGAATGGGTTTGCTTTCATTGCCCATGCTATTTCATGCCTGACAATACTGCACGAACCGGCTCTGAATAGACCTTTTCTACATGCGCTTTATTGTCCTGTTCTTCCCAAAGAGAGAAAAGTGCTTCAAATTTCAAATCTTCAAGTGCCATTGTCTCCCAGGTTCCAAGTGTAATGACCCAAGCTCTCCCCCAGAAACTTGTTGTACTTGCCAGTACAATCTCATCTTACACAGTCCAAAGGGACAAAGGAAGAGTGATTGATTCAATGTGAGTACTTAGAGAAGAAAATCCCAACAAACTGCTATGTGGAGAGCGCGTAAGAATTGAAGTCTTGTCAGTGGCCGAGCTTGAGTACCTTTGAAGGATCCGCTCACAATCAGTTCATCATGTATTCTGAATCAAAGAATGCAATAATGCAATTGTGTCTATATCGACGACACAAAAAAAAAAGAAAGACTCACATGCATCATGTTTTCATATAGGGCAGTCTGAACTATATTCCAACTGCATACAGGACTGCATACGGAACAGGTATGAACAAAAACTTTGTCAAACAAGGCAAAAAAATAGTCGAGTCATTGTGTATGTTCGGAAACGACCCTTTGGAGTACGTGAACCACTACATTTAAAGAACAAATTTGGTAGCTTCACTCAGTTTTCTATCACCAGACCGACCTGGTGACAGATTGAATTCGATTCACCACGTTGCAGACTTTATAACGGAGATGGCAACGTCGTACTGTAAGATTTGTAAGTTTTGTTGCAATTTTCAAGCGTGTGCCCCGCTTTGACCCGAAATACATGGAATGCACACATTTCAATTGCAACTGAATGGTCATGCCGAACATGAGTTGACGTGTCACATTAACACTCTTGAAAGCACTGCTATAATGCTACATCCTTACAGGAGGTATCTCATGATACTGAGTCTGCAGACTGCGTTTCAATTTGCACAGGACCCCTTCGCAGACTGGATTTACCCTAGTTTCAATAGCTCCATTCGCCACAAATGCCGCCATGGCACGCACATGCTGCCACCTAAACGAATCAAAATGTGGCAAATTTGTGGCAAAAGACTGCCAAAAACATCAGCCCGCTTTGTGCCTGTCACATGCCAACCAAAAAGACTGAGTTTGCTACTGCAGCACCAGGTGCCACTAGAAAAGCGGTCGGCAAAGCAATCTGCCCACTGAGAAAAAGTGCAACGGCGATTCTTGGATACAAACGGATTTTGGATGATTTCGAATGATTGTGGGGACTGTTGGGGAATGTAGGTCGCAGAAGTCGGAAATGACCATTTTTCGCGGCATGCGGCATGCACCTTTAACAAAGCTGCTGGATCTTCGGGTCGAACTCCAGGATCCAGGACACAATCCAGGCCAGTCCTTGGTCAGATGGCCATAAATGGCCATAGACGGCCACTTGGTTCAAAATATTTCCGGAGTCGTACCCAGTGTAACCTGTTGGCAAAAAAAAATGTGTTGCATGATGTTCATTTCAAAATTATTTTAATTTTTGTAATTTGATGTTTGTCATGTTCCACTTCAAATGCCACCATCTTTGGACCACCGGCCAAATGAACTCAAAATATTTTTGCACAACTAGGAACCCTGCCAAAGGGCCACAACAGAGCCCCATATCCGAAACAGTTCCTGCTTGCGTCACACATCTTGGACATATGCCTCTCAACCGCTTTCCAGGATCTTCCGAGTACATGTTGGGAGTCAGATATTTTGTTTGCCGCAAACGGGGAAAAAGAAATCATGGGGTTGTTTCGTCACTTTGACCCTCATGAACGACTTCGAATTTCGCAATAACCCTGTCCATTGATCCCTTTACATTTTTGTAATATGGTTTCATCATACATCGAAACATGTCAGTTTTCAATCACAAGCCCGCTCATACATGTTTTTTTTCAAGGTCAAGGCACAGCATGAAGTTTCCCCGGTTTATCCACAAACCCCTTTGGCCTGCTGCCACTCGCCACAGCGCTCGGTGTTTGCGGCTGCAACAGACGCAACCCCACTGGTTGCGTCCTGCAAGTTTCCCCATGGAAACAAAGATTGAATCTGTAAAAAAAAACAAATAATTCCACTATATTTCGACACATGAATTTCATCGCACACTCGCACGGCATGTTGGACCTGGATTGCAAACAAATCGCAACCTCAACAATGAAACAATTCTTACATATATGATATATGTTTACTGAGTTTTTCACCAACAGGTTTGCCCTTCGACAACACACCGCTGCTCAATCGGCCTTATCCAATGTTTTGCGTCCAACTTCCACGCGACGCCTCCGCAAATGAAGGAAACCACTTCCCGCTCGCAAAACGAAATTAAAATCAAACCAACACCAATTACTGCATTACAACTGCCTGTTATAATTCACCTCACCAAAACTAAATTCCAAATTCACATCACAAAGTCACCAGCATCATCAATACACCAGCATCATAAATACATCCACTGTGTGAACCAAATTTGTTTATACCAAGGATCCGTTTTCACATAAGAAAATAAAAAATGTATCACGATCCCGCCATCTCAGCGACTGTGCAAACATATTGTTCGCGCCTGGCTGGCAAAAAATGACCCCATGCCAGACTGCAACTGCACAGGTGAGACCTTAAAATGAAAACAAACCGTCCTGACGGCTATCAAACCAATTAAAAATTCAAAGCAAACCCTCGGATTTTCATTTCCACCCAAATTGAATGCAATTTTTGCCATAGCGTCGTGAGGATGCCAATGCCAATGGCAATCCCGAAACGCCATCGCAAACAATCGGGCATCTGAAAGTTTGGTTGTCAATTTTGAACATTTTTTTTGTTGCCAACATGTTTTGAGGTCGAAAAAAAAATCGGGTTTAACTGTGTCAAGGGATATAAACCAATCAACCTCTACAACCAATCTTGGGTGATGCCGACACCTGTTTCATTTGTTGCGATTCCATTTGGTTTAATTTTGAAAATTCACGTGAAAACATGTGTTTTACATTGTTGCCCTCTGCAAGCCTCAGTGTGCTCAACTGGGCATATGGATCTGCTCCGCTGCGGTGCGCGGTCGAATAATAGTGTTGCATGCAAAATCCGAGCCCACCACCCCATTTTTTTGCAACATAATGTGGTGAAAAACATATGCATACATTGCATGAACAGCGCACACATGTGTAGTGATCTTGTGGTAGATGGAATATAAAAATCAAGCTTGGAAGGGTTTTATGGTGAAAATGGGCCGATCAACTTTTGTAATTAGTTGGAATATTGAGGCCCCCCTAAACTCCCTGCACATAGGCAGAGAAGCGGATGTTTCAATGGGTTTTCGACAGGTAGGTGGACCATATAGATACGATAAAAATTGGCCCAGCAAATCACCACCAAGCAACAGTGTACTTCAAGATCATTGCAAAACATGTGTTTAAAATGTATGTGGGTGTTTTGCGGACCACACCCTAGCTCATCCCCTTAACTGCAGGGGTGGGGTAGTGGCCCGCCTTTTTGCCTAATGTTGCACCCGGGTATTGAACCCTGCGAAGAAAACGGCAAAGCTCGAACACTCTTATTTTGAACCAGGGCCTCGAAGGTAAACACACATATTTGTGTGAAAAGAATGTCATGTAATTTCACATGAAATTTGAGTCTCGTCCTTGAAGTCCACTGTCTCTCGTTTTGTGCGTGTCATCCTTTGTGCAGTGGCCATGCAGCCCTAATGACAGTCATGAATGATGATCCAATATTTTCGGACTCCTCCTTGATCAGCTGAGCTCAAGCTTGCCTGATCACTGCTATCTGTCACAGAAAAGGCTCACTGCCAGTGCACATTCTTTGCACGCACCTTTGTTCAAAAAAAATCTCATCCGAGAAAAACATGCAAATTTTCAGTCCACGTGCGCCATTTCGCGCAACGGTCCACCATAGCTATTGTATCGGTCTGCCATAACTGGATACTGGGTATACGGACTTGATCCGCCATAGATTCCAAGCAACTGCTCAAAGTTGTGAAAAGTTCCACCCTCCTTGCATTAGGCATTGGGATGGGACCATCCATTGCATCCAGAATCATCATAATGCAATTTTGAAATTGACTTGCCATCTCATAGTCACTTCTCATCAAACAGCTGTTCAGCTCGTTCCGGAAGGTCTCAATGATTTGGCTAAGGTTGGCCCTTGGCTCGATGGGAGGATCTCTCTCCCTCTCTTCACTTTCTCGTGATTCCATCATGTCCATGTCGTCTCCATGACTAACTCCATGGCTTTGGGCCTCATGTAACGTGCACTGCCCATAGCTACCATGTTGGCACGTTCAACATTGAACATATGGCGACGATCTTCCGGTTGAAGGGATCGAAATGGAGTGTATCCTCCAAGCTGTACCAGCCCGTAATGGAGCTGTTCACCAGCGTCAGAAACCATTTCCACCTCACCAGCTTGTCTCCAAAGTCTCCCAAGGCCTGAATTTCGTTCACATGTTTGTCACCTAATCCATCAAGGATTGACACATCGGTGAAATGTTGTTCTTTCAGACCCTCGTGCTGGTTCTGAATCTGGTTGTAAGCGCTGTCCAGGATGGCAAACTGCGTGTACAAATGTTCGTAGCTATCGAAAGCATCCTTTGCCATTCGATACGTCTTCCAGAAAATGAAAATCTAACCAATGACCACCATGAAGCAAAATGCCATTGTGGCAAGTGAGAAACCTTCTCCTCCTGAAAGTTGTGTATTGGGCTCGCTCAAACATGTCCCAGCATTGGAAAAAGAATCATCGTCCAAAACTGAGATCGAAACTGCAGCCACACCTGTCGAGGTGCTTGACTCAAGGCCCATCAAAAGCTGAGTTCGCTGCACACCCAAAGCCGTTGTCCCTATGTCGCTCACGGTCCAAGCTGTAGGGATTTGGGATAGGTTCACAACTCCATTTCTGACTGCATCTTGAATCCACAAAACTTTCCCTGACAAATTGCTTCACCTTTCCTGTTCCCTGCCTCAAAGCCAGCTGACGTCCTGAAGACGAGTCAATGAACATCGTATGTTCCACCTCAGCGTTGAAAACAAATTCCAAACACCTCCTCGTACCGACCGGGTGTCACGCGGACATCACTGGAATCTTGCATGTTCCAGTCCATCCCGGCCGATATGTCTTTTAATCGTGCATCTTCGACTGCGATTGGGCCAGATGGATACGGTGTCTGTTTAGGCATACCATGCACTAACTCTGACAATTGCGGTGCTTGCGCCGTGCACGGGGCGTGCCGTCAGTGGTAATTGAGTTTCAAGTAGCCAAACGACGGGGACCCCGCGTCGGCACTAACGCAAAACAGACCAGGCAAACAAGTTAAAAAAGGTGAACCCTATGCAACTTTTTTCCGTCCAACGCCTGCATGGCTTCCGCCAGGTCATTACACACGTTCGATCGTAGCAAAAGATGAATTGAGATTATCGCGCAGGGCTGTCAATTGTCGATAGCCACAAAAGTACTGGTAATGGACCTGTACGCAGTCCAGTACGCAATCCCAGCAAGAAAACCAAAAACACAAAACAAACCACAAAAACAAACAAGCAAACCCAACAAACAAAACAAACAACAAAAAACCAGCGACAAAAAAAACAGCAAACCAAGCAAAAACAAAACAACCAAAAGAACACCAAGAAGTGGGATCGCTACCAGCAATGGAGATTCATGCATGATGACATCTTGTGTGTCATGATGATAATGGCCCCTAACAAGAAGCAAAACAGAGAACCACGACAAAAACACCAGGGGCCAAATCAGAGGGTGTAAGAAGCAACAAAGCTCAATGCAGAAACCAGGGATCCTCCCAGCCAGGATCCCCGAGATCACAAAGAGCAGCCGTCCAGGCATGACATTCACCCTGACAGATGAACCCTATGCAACACTGGCTTTGCATGTGCAGGTGTCCACCACACGGATTTGAGCCACAGGCTGCTGACAAAGTCCGACTGAATAGCACACAAACAAAAACCAAAAAGATCCTGGTCCAGGTTTAGGCAGTTTGTGCAGTTGAAGTTCTTCCGTGGTAAGGACGTTTGTATCTAGATAAAACCGATGAAACCGATGCTGCTGTGTTCGCGTGTGAAGCTTGTGGTGAGGAGAAGAATGATGGAAGAAAGGTGCCCGCAGTAAGGGTGGGAGGTGCGTGCCAGAGCACCGTGGTGGTGTCAACAGTAAACGCTCGAGGGGGGTGGTAGGGAGGCAGGGCCATCGTCTGTGAGTGTGCACGGGGTAAAATGGGAGTTGCTGGTTGTATGCGTGGGGGAGGCAGGTGTGTGCTCTAGTTCATGTTTATTTCTGGGGCTAGGGCCGAGTGGGCATTGCCCATTAGGCTAAGGTTACGCTGGAAGGACAGAGCACTGGGGAGTGTTCTCCGCAATTATCTAGAGACGTCCTGGTGAGATGGCCCACTATTTTGTGAACAGGGGGTGCATTCTTCCTATGGTGAGCCAGCTGAATGAGATAACATATGAAAACATTGCCCTAAAGCCTCCAGACTTATGTGAACCCACCCTGTTACCCAAGGTACCCGGGAACAGCAGAGGCCTCATGGACAACAGAGGCTGGTATGCTTGCTAAGCCGAGATGTTTTGACGGAGATGTAGGAGAGGAGTCTGCCGAGAGGGCATCTCATGTGGTGGGCGCAGTGTGCGGTACGGGCACTGGCTACTCTCTGTGGACTATAAGGCATGTGTCCAGCAAAAATGCAGTGTGCAGGGAGAGCAGGTAGAGGACCTGTTGATCATGCTAGGCTTACCCCGGATCGAGTGTAAGGTAGGCAATCCGCCCAGGTCAAATATGCCACTATACGGTTTTATCCTATATGGAGCGATTGTACTGGAGAATCTCAGTTTTTTCCGTCCAACGCCTTCATGGCTTCCGCCAGGTCGTTCAACATGTTCAAGAGCATGTTGCAATTGGGATTAATTGATTAATTAAGGCATGCCGAGGATGTACTGGAGAATCTCAGTGGTGGCTACTTTCACTGGTCACTGATTATGGAAAAAGGCAAGAAGAAAAGACGCAGCGCTCTTTTTTCTCCTCTTCTTCTTCGGTTGCTGGTCGTGCATGGCAGTCTCTTGTTTGCTGAAGCATTGAAGGGGCAGTGGCCGTTCCGTGGTGCGACGGTTGCACTATCTGTATGTTGAGGCCGATTTGACACTGCTTGCACAATGCTATTGGGGTACTTTAGCGTACCAGAATGTGCATGATGCGTTGTTCCGTCGTCATCATTGCTTGGTCACAGCGGGTGATAAAGCTGCGCAGCTCAAGGTGTGCGACTCGCAAAATGCTGTTCAGCACCTGTCCGTCAAACCCTACAGTCGAGGTCCCTTTATGGCCTCCATGTTTCTACTAGTTTTTTGGATCCTGTTTTCGGGACCATGATGAAGCAGGCTTGTCGCCAAACACTAAAGTCCTTGGCTGCTGAATGTCTTGTTGGCGTTCGTTTGGGGCTGCTGAATTTCTTGACTCCTGTCTGCGTGGACTGATTGTTTTGGTTGCTTGCATTTGGTGCAGGTGGCAGTTTGTTTTGGACAGATGTCGTTGACACACTTCCTGGATCTGGGTTGGTGGGTTGGTGCCTAGGCCTAGAAAGTGTATTTTTTGCTGATACGAACACAGCTACAATTTTATCCCGCACCCACTGTCAATTTGGGAATAGACCGAGAGGGGGCAGCGAAAAGCCAAGACGGTCAACAAAAAGAACATTGGCCCATGAAAAGCGTAAAGTTGCAACGCCCCTTTCAATGAAGGTGAAACCTGTTTAAAAATATAGACATTCA